GATTTACGTGTGAGAAACATTAATTGATATACGTCAGGAACGTGTAGCCTTGTGAATGATAGGCTACTCCGCACTACCTTTTGCACGATACGTCGCTAGAACCACGTACGATACGTCGCTAGAACCACGTACCTTTTGCACGATACGTCACTATAGTCTGTTTGCAGTGAAAACGTACCGATGAATTTCATTTTAAACAAAATAAATCAAATAAAGTGAAATTAAGATTGCGAATCCTCATAATTTTACCTTGCCAACTGAACATTTAAATCTCAGAATTTTATTCAACTTAGGATAACAGTTGTTTAACAAACTATCATAGTTTCAAAGCGCTATTATTAGTTTGTATTACAAGGGGGTAAGCGCAGAAGTTGGAACAGTGAAACAAATGCACGTGCGGTACGTGATGAGTGTTAACTTATACTACCGTAGAAACCAATCCTTCTTGTTCTCGGGGTTTCATTTAATGTTCATACCCCCTTGTAATACAATCCAATAATAGCGATGTGAAACTATGATTGTTTGTTTAACAACTTTTATCCTAAGTTGAATAAAATTCTGAGGCAAGGTAAAATTATGAGGATTTGCAATCTTAATTTCACTTTATTTGATTTACATTTTTGTTTAAAGTGAAATTCATCGGTACGTTTTTACTGCAAACAGACTATAGAACCACATACTTTGTATTGTGGATATGTGGTTTACAGTATAAAGAAAACTCTGGCAACAGACTGAAACAACCATCATTGTTTTTTATAATAAAATGTAGCTAATGCTTCACATGACATTACGAAAACATTTAATCCTACGAGTCGTGATTTAAGGGGACACACCATAACCAAGAAAGTGTATATAAACAGGATCTGGCAACACTCAGCACACACTGAGATTTACACGTGTCGATAGTAATTATTATAACTGCAGTCGAAATTCGGTGTTACAAAAATAGGCAGGAGCCTCACATGGCAAGAATTGCGTAACAGTAAAACTGACTGTCAATTTGTTCATCTACATGTATTTGTTCAACTGAGTCGTGTTCGTATAGATGTGACCCGTGAAGATCCGGGGTAGAATAGGTCTTCAGCAACCCATGTGCTTGCCATAAAAAGCGACTATCTTGTCGTAAGAGGCGACTAACGGGATCGGGTGGTCAGTTTCGCTGACTTGGTTGACACATGTCATCGGTTCCCAATTGCGCAGATCGATGCTCATGCTGTTGATCACTGGATTGTCTGGTCCAGACTCGATTATTTACAGACCGCCGCCATATAGCTGGAATATTGCTGAGTGCGGCGTAAAACTAAACTCACTCACTCACTCGTATAGATGTAGCTCATTAAATCATGTATTGCCCACAACCACAGAGTTGCTCGGAATTGACATGGACCAAATGAATGTTATCTGCAGTGGAAATCTATTGACTTGGTTGACTGAGTAAGGTTTTTCGCTACTTTTAGCAATACTGAAACAACATCGCTAGAAATGGGTCCTTTTCAAAGCATATTTTATATTACTAATCAGAAGAAGCATCTTTTTATATGAATCATGCTGAATATTTCTTTTGAATAGCATTTGAAGGGGATTATTGATTATGACCAGAAGCAACTGCCGAGAGGGTGACGGGACCATGGATTGGGTTACTGACACGTCAGGGCACTCAGGTGTCCTGTGGCAATCGGAGTCTGAGGCAGATGATTAGATCGGCGTTTTAATGATATCTCGGTAATAGAATATCTCACAGCTGACCAGACAGCGGCTCTTCTTATGAAATGATAATCCTAAAATAATTTCGGTATTTCTTATTTGTAAGTAGCCGTTAGGAGGTAGCAGAGTATGGTAGCAGAGTGAATGAACGATTCCATACTTGCTTGGAATGACTGATAAACGTTCTTCGTTTACCCCGCCGTGGGTTTCTGTGATGTTGTTAATAGCTGAGTCAAATGCAGAGGGCGAATGTTGTCTTGATAATGCAAAGCAGAATGTAGACTTAACGAATGAGTGAGTTTTCTTTTACGCCGCTTTAGCAATATCACGCCCAGGCTGCACGCACGCACTGCACACACGCACACGCACACACACACACCGCCTCCCACCCATCCACATCTGACACCCACAGACCGACACACACCGCCTCACGATCATCTAGAACTGACACCTTCCGACCGCCTCACACCCGTCCGTACGTAGCTCCTATCGCCTTACTCCCGTCCGTACGTAGCCCCTACCGCCTTACTCCCGTCCGTATGTAGCCCCTACCGCCTTACACCTGTCCGTACTTAACCCCTACCGCCTTACACCCGTCCGTACGTAGCTCCTACCGCCTCAAACCCGTCCGTACGTAACCCCTACCGTCTTACACCTGTCCGTACTTAACCCCTACCGCCTTACACCTGTCCGTACTTAGCCCCTACCGCCTTACTCCCGTCCGTACTTAACCCCTACGGCCTCAAACCCGCCCGTACCTAACCCCTACCGCCTTACACCTGTCCGTACTTAACCCCTACCGCCTTACTCCCGTCCGTATGTAGCCCCTACCGCCTCACACCCGTCCGTACTTAACCCCTACCGCCTCAAACCCGTCCGTACGTAACCCCTACCGTCTTACACCCCTCCGAACATAACCCCTATCGCCTCACCCCAATCTACAAATGACTTCCACCCGTCCAGTTAAATTCTGCGTGACACCGATTAAGCCGAGTAATCCATAATTTCGTGAAACAGTTTATAAGCTGTATGTCCATATTTAAAACGTGACGATATAGCAATCTTTCAACATATTCTCATGATCGAATAAGCAATGGTCGTTACCATGCCTCTGTTTGACGTTGGAAAACACATTTTCAGGGATTCTTTCTCTCTATATATTCTTCCTCGAACAGTATTGTGACAATATTTACAGCTATTATAACGGAGGAAAATTACATCTGTCAATGTGTCCCCACCCGTAGCCTGGAAACACCTGCACGCATAGCTTGAACACATAGACAAGAATGTTATTACTTTACACTGTGTACTTCAACAACGTGCGGCCAAGCCCCTCTATGTAAACCTAAGACTGGTTACTTCAATAGAGCCGATAGAGGCTGCGACATGGCTAGAGGGCTGGAAGGCTTAACGTCATATATGCTATATAAAAGATTTTCATTCTGAGCGATGTTTGACGCCAATAAAAGAATATTTCGCCCTGTGTTAAATCGCGGACGGTGACCACACCTCAACTATCACTGATACACACGTCAGCGATTATATATATTTATTGAAATGCCAGTTTTTAATTAGTTTATGTGTTTCTTTGTCAATAAACGCTTAAAAATTGTAAACTTATTTCAAGAGAAATAGATGCGTCTCCTATACAGTATTAAACGATTTAGGCGAATGTTGACTGAAAATATTTAAAGTAGACTGTTGTCTGGATAATGTACATTCAATTGTTGTCTCGGGAATGTATGCAAGATTGTAGTGTTGGTAGTGATGGTCAAATGTAGTTTTGATAGCGACAGTCGCATTTATCTTAAATGTAAAGGTCCAATGTAGTCTTGATAATGTAAAGTTGAGTGGAGACGTAACAATGTAAAATGAGTGAGTTTAGTTTTACGCCGCCTTTAGTAATATTTCAGCAATTTCACAGCGGGAGACACCAGAAAGGGGACAAGAAGACTATATTCACTAGGCTACCGCACCGTCCGTAAATGTGTACTGAAGAATGTAGCCTTGCTGATGTAAAGTACACTGGAGACTTAATAATGTACATGTACAATGGAATGTAGCTTGATACTGCAAAGTAGACTGGAGACTTAATGAACAATCGAATGTAGTTTTGATAATGTACAAAGAAGACTTAATAATGTACATCAAATGTAGTCTAGATGATGTAGACAGTACATTTGATAAGTGTATTTGTTTACAACATATAGGCATAGGTGTGTACCATTGAATGTGTCTAATAGAGTGTACTTTCGACATTGTTCATATCTGTTTGCAGTCGAATCTGTTCAGAAAGGTTGGTGGTCGATTGTAGACTTGGTGGTAGATTATAGACTTAACAGTGAAACGTGGCACTGTAAACTTACATAGCAGCAGGATTAGCATGTTTAAATATCACGAATTATCGATTCCGTTATGTAAATCTACGCGAGCAAACATGAACGATTGATGTATCAGTTTGTACGCAAGTCATGAGTTTGTTTACATATCCAAGATTTCTTAAACTTCACTTAAAATGCCAAACCTAATCAATTTATGCTGTTCGATATATGTGTTTAAAATCTGATCGCTATTGGGATAAATGAGGATGGCAAACATTCTTGATAACACAGACGGTCTTAGTCAATCTCAGAAACAAATGTACAAAAAAGTGACAAAACACGAACAATATTCATTGGAAATCTGTGTTAAAAGTACAGGCGATCGTTTAATTCCGACTACAAACAATTTATAGACACCCAGACTGCTGCCAGCATTCCAGAATCCGTAGCTACATTATATGGTTAAATGTTAATTGGGTTTAATGCCAGTTTGGGGAGTAAGTAAATGAGTATGCTTTTACGCCGCTTTTAGCAATATTTCAGCAATATGACGGCGGGGGACACCAGAAATGGGCTTCACACATTGTACCCATGTGGGGAATCGATCCCTGGTGTTCAGCGTGACGGGCGGACGTTTTAACCGTTAGGCTACCTAACTGCCCCCGATTTGAGGAGGTAATGAAGTTCTGCCAGCTTCCAAGTGGGAAGAAATCCCAATGTGACATAGATCGCAGATATTTATTGACTTGATTAAACATTACGAGAACGGCTACAGAACTAACAGACAAGGGATCATAATTGGTGTGAAACCGAGATTCGGATAAGCGAATCCTGGCAACTAAGGGACACAACTCTGTATATATCTTTGCTGGACTATCGTGCAACCAATTACTCAGATCGGCTTGATTATCACAATATGGATGAAACACTGCCGACATGGAATTCACTCACTCACTCACTCCATTGATGTTCCAGGTATGACGTCATCATGGATGACCTATCTGGTGGTGCTAGCTGCGGTGGGTGTCGTCACTGCACAAGGTATGTACACGTTTACTTATAATACCTGTCTGTCTGTGATAGTGTAGCGGCGATAACATTTCCGAGTCTCGTGCTGGGATTCGAACCATGGACCTTCGGATGCGAAGTCGGACGCCTTGTCCACATGACCAAAAAGGTTAACCCCGTCAGCAAGGTGACAAGGTAAGGATGTCATTTGTGGGATGACTCCACGCCCTGCCACAGTAACATGGGAAGGGGGCTTCACTGCATAAGGTATGTGCTTATATTACCTGTCTATTTGTGATAGCATGGGAAGGGGTCATCACTGCATAAGGTATGTGCTTATATTACCTGTCTATTTATGATAGCATGGTAAGGGGTCATCACTGCATAAGGTATGTGTTTATATTACCTGTCTATTTATGATAGCATGGTAAGGGGTCATCACTGCATAAGGTATGTGTTTATATTACCTGTCTAGCATGGTAAGGGGTCATATTACCTGTCTATTTTATGATAGCATGGTAAGGGGTCAGCACTATACAAGGTACAGTATTACATATATAGTGGTTATAACTAGTGTGGCAGTTATCAATGCAAAATTTAGCGTTCTGTATAAATATGAACCATTTATAACATTATTTAGAAAAATATCAACTACTCAAGATGTTCCATCGTCCAAGAATTCTTTTGTATGCTAAATTATTTCTAAAGCAATCAAATAGTTAGATCGCTAAGATAGGCGGAGTGGTATATATGGTTATAAAGCGTCAAGGCAACATAATATGAAGGGTATGAAACAAAACGACATATTTGTAAATTTAAGAGTGCATACTGGACTATATTCCTTGACTGACATTTGTACGTATTTGAACTATTTCGTTCTTACCTGCTTACATGTTTTGCAAGCCGCAGCCTCAAGTTCACAATACGCTTCTGCTTTCAGAGTTTACATTTTTAAATGATGTGACCGTTATTGTACGTGAGGGTCAGGCTGTGCCCTTGGTTCTCCAAATCACAAGAAGTGGGGCTCTGACGAACAATGCCACGGTCACCCTTGTCGCCTTGGAATATACAGACAATTACAACGAACAATGGCGGCTGCCCGTGGAATTTCTCTCAGGGGAGGCCACTCGCTTACTTCCGCTAGGAACACTCGACGATACTGTAAGTTGTTCTGTGCCTTTGCCATCTCAATTCCCTTATCATGCTGCTTCTGCTACTGGTGTTCCCCTCGGTGAAGACCCGCGTTAGAATCAACCTTTAATAACACATCTGTTTCCTTCCACCTCCCCAGCCCAACACATGATGGTGCTGAATTCTGGGTTAACGTTGACCCCCAGTCGCACATCTGCGTCTCCTAACACCACCCCAGCCCCACGTGAAGATGTGGAGATCTGCGTCAGAATTAACCTTTAATAACACAACTGTCTCTCCTAATACCACCCCAGCCCAACACGTGAAGATATGGAGATCTGTGTTAGAATTGACCTTCAATAATACATCTGTTTCCTACCACCTCCCCAGCCCAACACATGATGATGCTGAATTCTGGGTTAACGTTGACCCCCAGTCGCACATCTGTGTCTCCTATCACCACCCCAGCCCCACACGTGAAGATGTGGAGATTTGTGTTAGAATTGACCTTTAATAACACATCTGTTTCCTTCCACCTCCCCAGCCCAACACATGATGGTGCTGAATTCTGGGTTAACGTTGACCTCCAGTTACACATCTGCGTCTCCTAACACCACCCCAGCCCCACACGTGAAGATGTGGAGATCCGCGTTAGAATTGACCTTCAATAACACATCCCTTTCCTACCACCTCCCCAGCCCAAAACATGATGATGCTGAATTCCGTGTTAACGTTGACCTCCAGTTACACATCTGCGTCTCCTAACACCACCCCAGCCCCCCCCCACACGTGAAGATTCCGTGTTACATCGTTGACCACCTCCCCCAGTTACATGATGGTGCTGAATTCCTGCGTGACCTCCTAACATCTGCGTCTCCTAACACCACCCCAGCCCAACACGTGAAGATATGGAGATCTGTGTTAGAATTGACCTTCAATAATACATCTGTTTCCTACCACCTCCCCAGCCCAAAACATGATGGTGCTGAATTCCGTGTTAACGTTGACCCCCAGTCGCACATCTGCGTCTCCTAACACCACCCCAGCCCCACGTGAAGATGTGGAGATCCGCGTTAGAATTGACCTTCAATAACACATCCCTTTCCTACCACCTCCCCAGCCCAAAACATGATGGTGCTGAATTCCGTGTTAACGTTGACCTCCAGTCGCACATCTGCGTCTCCTAACACCACCCCAGCCCCACGTGAAGATGTGGAGATCTGCGTCAGAATTAACCTTTAATAACACAACTGTCTCTCCTAATACCACCCCAGCCCAACACGTGAAGATATGGAGATTTGTGTTAGAATTGACCTTTAATAACACACCTGTTTCCTTCCACGTCCCCGGCCCAACACATGATGGTGCTGAATTCTGGGTTAACGTTGACCTCCAGTCGCACATCTGCGTCTCCTAACACCACCCCAGCCCAACACGTGAAGATGTGGAGATCCGCGTTAGAATTGACCTTCAATAACACATCCCTTTCCTACCACCTCCCCAGCCCAAAACATGATGGTGCTGAATTCCGTGTTAACGTTGACCTCCAGTCGCACATCTGCGTCTCCTAACACCACCCCAGCCCAACACGTGAAGATGTGGAGATCCGTGTTAGAATTGACCTTCAATAATACATCTGTTTCCTACCACCTCCCCAGCCCAACACATGATGGTGCTGAATTCTGGGTTAAAGTTGACCTCCAGTAACACATCTGCGTCTCCTAACACCACCCCAGCCCAACACGTGAAGATGTGGAGATCCAAGTAGAAGGACCTTTAATAACACATCCCTTTCCTACCACCTCCCCAACACTCCAGTCGCACATCTCTCTCCTAATACCACCCCAGCCCAACACGTGAAGATGTGGAGATCCTGCGTTAGAATTGACCTTCAATAATACATCTGTTTCCTACCACCTCCCCAGCCCAACACATGATGGTGCTGAATTCGTGAAAGTTAACGTTGACCTCCAGTTCACACATCTGCGTCTCCTAACACCACCCCAGCCCAACACGTGAAGATGTGGAGATCCGTGTTAGAATTGACCTTCAATAATACATCTGTTTCCTACCACCTCCCCAGCCCAACACATGATGGTGCTGAATTCTGGGTTAAAGTTGACCTCCAGTAACACATCTGCGTCTCCTAACACCACCCCAGCCCAACACGTGAAGATGTGGAGATCCGCGTTAGAATGAACCTTCAATAATACATCTGTTTCCTACCACCTCCCCAGCCCAACACATGATGGTGCTGAATTTTCCTCCAGTAACACACCTAACACCACCCCAGCCCAACACATGTGATCCGCGGTGACCTTCAATAACACATCTCTTTCCTACCACCTCCCCAGCCCAAAACATGATGGTGCTGAATTCCGTGTTAACGTTGACCTCCAGTCGCACATCTACGTCTCCTAACACCACCCCAGCCCAACACGTGAAGATGTGGAGATCCGTGTTAGAATTGACCTTCAATAATACATCTGTTTCCTACCACCTCCCCAGCCCAACACATGATGGTGCTGAATTCTGGGTTAAAGTTGACCTCCAGTAACACATCTGCGTCTCCTAACACCACCCCAGCCCAACACGTGAAGATGTGAAGATCCAAGTCAGGATTAACCTTTAATAATACATCTGTTTCCTACCACCTCCCCAGCCCAACACATGATGATGCTGAATTCTGGGTTAAAGTTGACCTTCAGTAACACATCTGCGTCTCCTAACACCACCCCAGCCCCACACGTGAAGATATGGAGATAAGCGTTAGAACTGACCTTCAATGACACATCTCCTACCACCTCGCCGGCCCAACACATGATGATGCTCAATTCCGGGTTAGAGTTGACCTTCAGTAACACATCTGTGTGTCTCCTATGTCTATGCGCGCATCCAAACTAACAGGAAGTGCATTTTGCAGATCCAGGAACCAGACAGACTTTACATCTTTGAGATCGTAGCGACATCTGCAGGGAACACGATCGGAGCCAGGCCGCGCGTATACGTGTCGTACGTAGACAACGACGGTGAGTGGCGAATATACGCTGACGTTAGGTGGCGTTAGGTACAAAGTGATGTCAGGTCTTTCTACTGAATCTTTAGAGATGCTACCATAACCAAATCAAGGAATCAATCAACCTTCTCATGATAATATGATGCAGATGAATCAGGTTCACATAGCCCATCCTTGTCAGTCAGAAACGTACAGCGCTCGAGGTGCTAGCATGACACTATTCCCAATACAGTGACTCCACAGGAAGCGCTGCGACAATTGTATTTCGGTCAGGTCGGTTTCTTTTACAATGCCATGGGAACTGTTCAGCAGTGACTTAGCAGTAAAACTGCCTTAAGGTTATATTAGGCCCAGATCGCTTTGTAGCGCATGAGAGTACGGTCCCCTTTTATTTTTTAAGATGGTAGTTATGTTAGGTACCGTTACCCTGTATCTGTAATTTTCCCATTACAGATTTTGAAATTGACTTGTGGCTGCACAGAGCTCGGGTTGTTTGATAGTGTTTTCCTTATAGACTTCCATTTCGAAACGTGCCGAATCCTAACAGTTCTGCGTTAATGTACGTGAATCGTAAATCTACAAAATCTGTAACACAATCATGTTCCGAAAGCACTTGCGTTAAAATATGTGCACTTCCAAAACCATCGGGGTGGAATCAACGGTTCTGATGTTTGGCCGCCATCGCTTAACGCATGGCTGATGTTTACCGGTATGGTTTCGAAAACGATAAGTTGATATATTGATGCACAATTTGAAATATAAGTACTGGTACTTGAAGGTGAATGTACCAGGAGGCGAATCGTATTAGATGTGCTGTTAG